TAGTTGGAGTTTCAAGTTAAATTATCTTCTGAGAAACTGTTCAGTTGAAATGGTGCTTGCTCATTTAGAGAATGTGGTAGTGACTAATTTATTTTAGAAAATCTATAATGACGCGTCTCAAGAAATGCATATCTGGGTTGGAGACATTCATGAATATGTATCATCCGATACTGAATTGAATTTTAGCAATGGAATGGTACCAATCGTTTTGGGTGCCTACAGAGAGGACTACGAGAATGTTCTTCCACCTCATTCCTACATCAACGTGGATGACTTTGACTCTATTCAGGAACTTGCTGAGTACCTTCAGTTCTTGGACAAGAATGACACTGCTTACGCACAATATTTTGCTTGGACTAAACATGGTCGAATTATCGTAAATTCTGATTCAGATAAGATGTTTATTTGATGCATAAAACTGTTTTTATAATCAATTTTCCTTTTGTTTAAGAAGTTGAACAGACCTGATTGCCGACTTTGTGGAGTTATGCGAAATATTAACGAAGGAAATATGTTACTCCGAAAACCAGATCCTAAACTATTTACAGATCCAGGTCATCTGTGTTTCGATCGACCCTTACTTCCACTCAAGTCGAAATCTCCTGTTGTACAAAATTTAACTCATCTCTTTTCATCCCTACCAGTCATCACCTAATCATTGCATATATTATCTTAAAATCAAAAATATTTTTCAGCAATACTTATCGAATTCTTTCATCATTCTTTGGTTGAGTTCTATGTATTTAGAACCGTTCAATTAGATTGGTTTCCAAGAGGCAAAGATGTTAACTGGCCTCTTCAACTTTTTGCAAGGAATATAACCAATTTATTTCATCAAGCACTTGCAGCTAAAATAATCCCAAGATTTAAAATTAACAAAAGAATATTTTATTTGCTTTCAATTGTCATCTATTATCACAGACGTTCATTGATTATAGTTTTATTGAAATTTTTAACTGCCTATTATTAGCAAATGGTGCCACTATTTCCCATAAGTATATTTCTTGAATTTTAGAAGTCTGACTTACTTTCTTCCAATTCCCCTTTCCAATAATTAGTTGAGATCAGATGTTCAAAACTTAAGGCAGAGTACATTACCAAGTGAAATAACAGAGACTTGTGTGATTTACTGGTATATTAGCCATCCAGAAAATCGATTGTTATGGCTCGATATGAGAAAAACTCAAATGAGATTTTTTTACTCAAGTATGCTTTGTTGGTTTTATTTCTTTTTAAGGTAATTGTTAAATGCACTGTTAATTAAGAAATTGGACTTATCTGGTTGGATATTTATTTAGACAGTATAACAGAAAACATATGGTCATTTTTGTCAAGTAAATAATGAGCAAATTTATTTCTTTTTTTGCAATTTCTGCAGGTCAAATAAAATTTGATCAACTTAGACATTGATCCAACTCAATTTGGGAATCCATCGATATTTTCTCACGTGGTTCGATATTAAAACCGAGGAAATGCGTTTTTTAATATTACCCTGTTAAACGATTTCAATCAAAAGTTGCAATTAAAAATATAATACCACCTCATAATTGAAGTTTCGGCTTCGAAATTCGCTATTCATTAGTTGTAAGCAAACAACAATATATATATATATATATATATATATTTCAACTAATGCAAATAAATTTACCTACAAAGAAGAGCATAAATTTTTGCACTTTTACACGGGGGGGGGAGGATTTGCCTAAAAGAATATTAAATATGTACCGATTGGTATCATTCACAGTAATTTAGCGTATTATTTGTCAATGTATCTCCACCGGGGCAATTTTAATTAAGTACTTCAGCAGTGTTGTGCGCTGAAAAGTGGCCCTCTTTCAACGCTCCCAAAGGCTTACAACTAAACCTCATGAACACTCAAACACACTCGAAGGTGCGACTTACTAATGATCACATAGGGTGCAATTGTGTTCGTGAGTGTACAGAACTCTCAGTCAACCAATATTCATTAATAACACTTCATTTAATAACCTTATGTCGGTTGTAATAAAGGCTCCTCACACCCAACAATTTTTTTCCTTAATGGGACTAAAGTAGATTTGCTACTATCTAAAACATGTTTATGCTATAGGATTTTGCCTGAGTTTGATGCTGTAATTTAACCAAGTTCAGTAAATTTCATAATTCGCTTCCATGAATTTAATATTATAAATATAGTATATCCTCCGTTCGATCTCTTAATTTAATTCAACTTAAAGAAATGGCAATATTCAGAAAGTTAGAAATATAGTGCCTGTTTTGAATGAAATATAACCTCATGCACCTCATAGAGGAAGAGAAAGGGTTTATTTGATTTGAATTTTCATTCTCGGTTTAAGTGAGAACCCCAATCTAGCACTAATGGGTTTTTCGATTTTGAAAATGTCTTAAGTAACTGTATATTATTGCCACCTTTGAATATTGTTTTTGTATCGGCTTAACCCCTTCGATCAGAGCAATTTGTGAAGCACCTTAAGTCAACACTTTCTGGAATAAGAAGAGAATAAAAATTTTTATTTAAATTTAGAAATTGACAAGACGATATTTTCGCAGCTCATTATGTCAAGGATTCTAAAATGCTATGAGTAGTTTACTTCTAACATTAGACGAGAAGAGAAAGATAGGCACGTACGCTGGAGGGTTAAAATGGAATACACTAGACATTATGATGCAGCTGCGGTGTCCAATTCACTTGGTAAATACTAAAAGTTATTCGATACAACGACGATATATGACGGAAATGAATACTTAGTTTAGAATGACTTATTCTCAAAATAAAATTACCTTGAATTTATTTAAGTGGGTAAAAAATAACACCAACTTCTTTTCTAACTTTTATTAGGTAAAATCAAGTATTATACCACTGTCAGCAATTTACCTGAATGAATAAGGCAATTCAATTAGGTTTATAGTCTGCAATTCAATAACCTTCATCCTCTGCTACATGTAAATTCTAAAACAATAACTTAAATTATCAGGTGAATATAATAAACTCCATCAGTATTTCAAAAAAACATGAAATGTTTGGTTTAATCACTTTTTCATTGTAGTTACTGCCCATGGCTGTTTTTCCGAAAAATAGGAGCTTATTAACAGCATAAGTGAATTTACATATATATGTATGTGGCAGTTGACCGAATGACAATAAACAACCTCAAATTTTACTAGATTTACTGAAAATGTCAAATATTTCATTAATTCTTACATTATGTTTCCTAAGTTATTGACGATTTCTCGCAATTTTGATGAAATATTTGTGCTAACAAAGCCTTGGTAACAAACAGAACAAAGTTAACACTGAAAAAGATTACTAAAAACTATTTTACAATATTAGTATATCACAAAATACTACAGTTTACATTTGTTAACTACTTTAAAAATAGGATTTTATTGTCATTTTTCTTAGTTAAAGCTAGATTTTCACCTAATGACCTACAAAACTGGCGATATTTACGTACTTTCATCTCAGAGCACCGTTCGAATTTGCCGTTTCGGAATATGGATACTGGCCGGTAAGGAACGAATGTGCTATTGCTTATTAATTAATTTAGCAAAATCAAAGTTGCAGTTGAGGGGAATATTGGTTGCGGAAAATCAACATTCCTAAAATATTTTGGTGAATATTCCTCAAATATTCAAATTTCCCCTGAACCGATTGAATTGTGGAATAACGTCCAGGGATTTAAACTATTCGTAAAATGGGATCAGTTTAAGATAATCATCACTCTTTGCAGGAGGTATTTTACGGTAATCCTAAAAGGTGGAGCACTGCATTTCAAAGCCAGGTTATGGTCACCATGTTGAATCGCCAAGCGGAAAAACAAGTGTGTTGGTTTTTAGATTAATAAAATCTTTAAAATTGCTTTCTTATTTTCTTTTTTGTCTAGATTGCTCCTGTGCGAATACTAGAGCGTTCAGTTAGTAGCTGTCGATATATATTTATCGAAGCTATGAATAGGAAGTAGGTTTTTTGCCTCTAGGCCATTTCTGTTCAAGTGTGCTCTTTCAGAAATTTGTTTAACTTCATTCATAGTGGGCAGCTGTCGAATGCGGACCTTGACGTTTTTGACAGATTCTACAGCTATGGTCGGAGTTTGCCAATTTCAGACCTGGATCTCATTGGTGTGTTTTCCTAATTGAATCATAGTTGTATTCAACTTTTGCACTACAGTAGTTTTATGTTAAATTCTAGTTTATCTTCGGTGTATGCCTGAAGTTTGTGCCAGTAGAATCCGTGAGCGAGATCGAAAGGGTGAAAGCAATATCTCCATGGTAATTGCAACTTTCACATAAATTACGTAATTTATGTATATTAAAATAATTCTCTCTTCATTTATATCTACTTTTTTCGAACTCTTTTTGAGAGTTATGTTCACTAATTTAAGCATCGCAACCTCACGCAAATTGACGCAATTTTCGCGTCAACTATGCTGTGATTTGATTGGTCCGATACGGTATGCGTTCCTTTGGGCTAATCCAGACGGACTTCTGCCTGATTGGCTTGGAGCATATTTTTACATACTTTTTAATTTTTTTATTTTACTACTCATAATTAATCAAGTAGCATTCGCGTAATTATGCCCCTTATTATTAGGTTGGTCTGATGGTAAATCCTCAATATCCTTATGTCTTTAATGTGGACTTCCAGTGTGCTCCAAAATATTAGTTATTTATGTCAGCATGTTTTTGCTTTCATTTTTGTTTTTCGTATGTTGGCAATTGACTTACACATAGCAAAACAGTTTATTCTGAAAATTTCGAACTTGACATAACTGAAGATAGTCCTCCAGGTTAATATCTTCTTTAATGGAGTAAGGACTTATTGTGTCCGTCGTTTTTATTGATTGCATTTGTAGATACAACTAATTTTATTCTTCTGTGTACCTCTTCGTTATTGTTTACCTTTCTCATTTACTTTGAACATTCTTAATGCAGTAATGAAGTCATTTTATTATATGTTGGTTTGAATCATCAACTTAGTCCTCTTCATCTACACTTTCCGATATTTCCTTTATTGAAATTCGATTTTCTCCTCAGAGTAGTATCAGATTATCCTTTTACCTTGTGTCATTATCATTTCCCATTATTAACTTGGAAGTATTTTTTATTTCTTCCTACTTTTAAAAGCCAATTCGACATTCACTAATGGTAGCTCACTTTGTCTCAAAATTTTTTAATGTCAGCAAAATTAGGAAGTTTATGTATTAAGGTATTTTATTAAATTTAACAAATGGAATTGATCGTTAGCGTTTGTGTCAAATACGAGCTTGTGTGAGTGACATAGCCTTCACTATTAACTTTGATAGTAAAATTGGGATTCGAAATATGACGATCAAACTTTATCTTTCGGCTGGTGTTCAGAAAGCTACTGGGTGGCAGTTTAGGTGGATACTATTCCATGAGCGGCGGATTTCCTCTCATTTATCTTCATTCTCTTACTTCAAAATCCACTTTGGTAGAATTGAGGGCTTAATCTAAGGTTGAAGTTTTCGATGTTTGCGTAGGTATTAAAAATTGCCTATTTCGATTATTTTTTATACTTTATGTCTTTGCTTTCAGGATTACCTTAATCAACTTCATGATCTTCACGAGGAATGGCTTATTGGCGGAAAATTGGAGCCTACATTAGCCCCTGTACTGGTAAGTAAAGCTTCATAATATTTTGCTTTATAAGTAGCACCAGTCGTGAGACTCGTTACTAATACGACTTTGTTAACAATGCGGTTCGCTTTATATTGAGCTACCTCTTTGTTTGATTCTCTTTTGGTATTTCAGGCTGTTTTCTTTTTTTCTAATAGATTTTCGACTGCAATGAGCCTCTGGAAACGCTAAGGAAGACGTATTTTGAAAACATGGATCGGGTTTTGTGTGGAGTTACCGTGTAGAACAAAGCAAAAGAATTAATCCCGAAGCGCCAATCTCGTATTTTTGTAATCGCTTCCATTTCTTACTCGTCTAATTGTAATATTTGTATCGTCTTTTTAATCCTATTTAAATATTACTTTTTCGCTGCATTTTCTAAAGTGTGTATTTTATAAATTTTTTCGAAATACTTTTTAATTGCTTTGTTTACATCGTTGAAGTGCATTGTCAGTCAAATAAGCCTTGATTAAGCCTCAGCTATCTCTATGGCAAAAAAACATTTTTGTGGAATCACGCATGAAGTTGAGTAAGCCGTTTCAACAACATCGAGGAGACAGACTGTATGACATTTATTTTATATCAAATGGCAGGCTTTATGATAGTTATCATTAGCCCTTTAGTTAACTTCAGGTTTCACAGAGGAGGACGAACATCAAAATGAAAAAAGTCGAGAGGGGGGGGGGTGAATAGAAGAGC